AGCAGAAAATCAAATTAGCAGCCAGGTGTAACTCAGAAACCTGCTCTACATTAAGGACAACAACAACAACAAAAGAACTGATATGATTCTTAAACTTTGCTGCATACATCATTCTGGGTTGCTTTTTCTGGGTTGCATTGACTTTTTAACATTCAGACTAGAAAATGGCTTGCCTCTTCAGCATGTGGCACAGGGGCAGCCACCATGTTGCTGACTACAACACCCACCAGCCCTGACCACTGACCATGCTGCCTGGGGCTGATGGGAGTTGGAGTCCATTGACTTCATGGGCGGGCACCATGTTGGGTACCCCCGTAAGTGAAAACATCCAAGAAACCTTAAGCCCTTCAAATGTTTTCCTTTCCTTTCATTACAGACTTGGAGATGATCTGAAAACACGTCAGGGACCAGCTTCTCCAGTCATCCCCCCCCCCCCCCAGCTTGGGTCATAACTGTTTCCCTGCTGAATAACATACTAATCCTGATCCGCCCCCTCCAAAAAGCAATTCCCTGAAACGTATTATGGCTTCGTAAGCTTCCATTCCTGTAAATACTCTTGTTTTGTCTTTATTGGAGACAAAGCCTATTAATATTTTAAATGAATAACCCCTTGCTTTTCATTGAGCCTTCTAGAGATGCTTTTCTCGCGCTTTTACAACAAATGTTTACATCACCTGTACTGCGAAGATACAAACGGCTATGTATTTTATTCATTATTGTGTATTTGCAGCCAGCTCTGTTGCACAGGCTTGAGGCAAAAGCAACATGATTAAAATGCAACAATGAACTATATCCCCATTACAATTCAATTAGTTGCTCAAAACATAGAGTGTTTCAAATCATCAACCTTCCCTTTAAAACCTACTCTCGGTAAAAAGGGCTTTCAGTGTTTCTGAAAGTTGCTTGAGCTTTCAGGAAGTAAAAAAAGAACATTTGGTTTGCATGCAAACATAAGAGGCTGGTCACTAGGGCGAGGTGGGGCAGAGGGTGGGAAGGAATTTGCAAAATAAGCTAAGGCTGCCTTATTGGGAGAGTTAAAACAGTAACCACTGTGGAACCATCCAGGTAGCAGCTCTCAACACTCCCATTGCAGTGCCAATGGTCAGAGATGGTAAGACCTGTAGCTCAACAATGCCTGGATAGTATCATATTGGCTACCCATGATTTAAAAGTAGGTGACTGTTCTCCAGCTTTCAATAAGGCAACCCAAGCTGAAACAGTTTGCTGCCTGCTTAGTTTTCCTCTTCCCTCTCCATTCCTTTTTCCTTTTGTGTTGTGTATTTTAGATTAGAAGGCTGAGAACAGGGACTGTCTTATTCTTATCAATATTTATGTAAGCTGCACTGGGAGCCTTTTTTGCCTTAAGGGGCAGAGGTGAAAATGCTTCAAAATAAATAAATAATTTGCAAGGCCAATTCTGCATCTATCCCACATCTAGAAGTCTTCACCACTGGGCTTTACAGAAGCCACTAAGCTTAGAACAAAACAGTCCTCCCCTTCTGCTTGTGGAATAAAATGGATGCCGAGGATCCACAAAGCTGGAATCGCCCTGTTCCACCTTCAGCGTCACTGCTGACTGCAGAACGACACTGGTTTTATCTGCAAGGACCAGGGAGCTGGTAAAACAAGCTTTCAGCTTCAGGATTCAAAGGAACAGAAGGTAAGGTAGCCCTCAAGCAACAAACAGTAATGAAAGGGGGATTAAAATTTTCTTCTGGCGCGAAATCTTCAAGGACAGACCAGTTCATTTATTCAGGAAATCCATTGCTAGTTTAATATGCAGTTAATTTACAGAGGTGGTTGGATCTCTGTTCAACATCTTTAGGGCATCTATTTCTCCACCTGAATTTGCTGATGATTGTATGGAACACTGCCCAAACAATATTGCAAAACACTGACAGAAGCACTCTAGGGCCATATTTCAAAAACAAGTTGCCATGCTTCATGTGTAGCCTTCAGACTGAGAAAAATGTGTCACAAGAGGGTCAGTGCCTATATAAGCTCTTTAGTCCTGCAAAAAAACCAAAACCCTTAACCTGTATGATTTGTAGTAAGGGCTATGGAATGCAAAGCTTGCCAATGGCACCTAGACTGGACAAAAGCTTCCTGAGCCACCAAACCAGTAAAGTAAATATGCACTGTATATTCTATAGCCAGTGTGGTTTAGTGGTTAGAATGCTGTACCAGGACCCGGGAGACCAGGAATCAAATCCCTGGCATGCCATGAAACTCAATGGGTGGCCTTGGGCCAGTCAGTCTCTTAGCCTAACCTACCTCACAGGGCTTGTTTTCTCTTGCTCCAGAGGAAATATGCTGTCAGTCAGAGAAGACACAACTGGAACCTACGGACAAATAGCCTGACGCAGTATATGGCTACTTCCTGTACAGTGGTACCTCGGATTACATACGCTTCAGGTTACATATGCTTCAGGTTACAGACTCCACAAACCCAGAAATAGTATCTCAGGTTAAGAACTTTGTTTAAGGATGAGAACAGAAATAGTGCAGCAGCAGCAGCGGGAGGCCCCATTAGCTAAAGTGGTACCTCAGGTTAAGAACAGTTTCAGGTTAAGAATGGACCTCTGGAACGAATTAAGTATTTAACCCGAGGTACCACTGTATGTTTCATCAACTGTACCTCTGTCAAAGGAACAGGCCTGTCCAATGAGCATGAACAACTTGCTCTATACTTGGGAATCGGAACTAAACCAAAGTTTTCTGGATTCTGGTCCAAGCCCACAGCTGCAGAATCAACATTCAGCACTCATGAATGGCCTTTTAAAAAAAACCTGAATTAATCCCTCTCCCCCCCCCCCAATTAAAAAATAGTAATAACCCAAAGGTCACGTTCCTCAATATACCGTTAAGTTCTGCCAATTTCCTGGAAAGTAAAAGAAATTTCATGCGGTGTGCCATTTCCAAAGCTCCTGTGCTAGTTTAATTGGAAGATCTCAATTCTGAAATTTGTTTTTGAGCTGCCAGAGAAGCAAATTCTCATTCAGTTTTAATGGTCTCGAATGGGTTTTGTCCGACAGATTTCTCTCCCCCCCCCCCCAAAGTCCTTTGTTAAAATTGTTCTTTTTTAAAATATAGCCTTAGGTTGCCTCAACATGTGTCAAAAGTAAGATACAAGGGCTTTTTAACAAAATAAAGGGTTATATTATAAATAGGAGCATGGCAAGCAACACATGTGCAAGAAGAAATGCATGAGAAAATAATAATAAATAATAAAATTTTATTTATATCCCACCTTCCCCAGCCAAAGCCGGGCTCAGAGCAGCTAACAACAGTAAAAAATAGCACATTTTACATAAAATCACAGTCAATTAATTGAAATACATTCTAAAATCAATTCATTTAATAATAAAATCCCTCTGTCCAGCAAAGAAGTCAGCCTACAGCGATGCAGCGTCACCTAGTGGCCCAAGTCCACAATGACTGCAAGAGTTTCTGCAGAGTAAATATCTATATTTGCAAGAGTGGCGCTGTGGTCTAAACCAGAGTCTAGGGCTTGCCAATCAGAAGGTCAGCAGTTTGAATCTCCGCGACAGGGTGAGCTCCCGTTGCTTGGTCCCAGCTCCTGCCCACCTAGCAGTTCGAAAGCACATCAAAGTGCAAGTAGATAAATAGGTACCGCTCCGGCGGGAAGGTAAACGGCGTCTCCGTGCGCTGCTCTGGTACGCCAGAAGCAGCTTAGTCATGCTGGCCACATGACCCAGAAGCTGTCTGTGGACAAACGCTGGCTCCCTCAGCCTATAGAGCGAGATAAGCGCCGCAACCGCAGAGTCAACCGCAACTGGACCTAACGGTCAGGGGTACCTTTACCTTGGACGGAGATTTTATTCAGGAAACGGCGTAAAGAAATCATTTTACTTTTCAGTGCATGGTTCTTGGAAACAAACCCCTCTGTATTAAAAGCGGATCAGCGCTGTGTCTGAGAGGGGCTGTGGGCCAGTGGTAAAAAAAAAAAAAACAACCCACGCTTTGAATGTATGAAGGTCGCAGGTTCAGTCCCTGCCCAAGTAGACCAGAGAATGACACCTGCCTGGAGAGTCAATGTGTATGTAGACTCTCTAGTTGGGAGGGCCAACTTTTGGTGGGTTGTTGATTTTAACAAGAATATATCCATCAACTTGTTATCTATCCTCCAGGTAAAAGACACACTTACAATTTTGTAAAAAATATGAGCCCAGGAATATGTTAGAAGCGCCGCCAAAACGGCCTCCCACACAAAAATCCACTCCCTGCAATCTCCCCACGCCACGCTTCTTTCCTCATTTCAGTGTTGTCACGGGGGGGGGGAGGGTGCTGTTAAACAACACGGGAATCCGAAATCCTTGTTAATCTACCGCAAAACACCCTACCAGCGGATCTCGAGCTACCCTCCGCTTTCACCTGATCCTAGGCTAGCTAGACGGACCACGGGATCCTATTCCACGCAGCAGAATCCCACGTATCTGCACAAGGAGAGCAGCCGCAACTGAACTGCATCACGAACACGCTGCAGCGATTTGAGAGGTGTGTGGGGCGCTGTCCTACAGAAATTGCTTTCCGGAGTATGATAGGGCCCGGCTGGGGTGGAAGATGCCGGCAGCCTCGCACACAAAAAAATCTAGCCTAAAAGGCGTTTGCGAGTGAGGGGATTCGTTCCTAGTCTATAAGGCGAGGCGCACACGCGTGCTGCTGCAAAAGTGTCTCCACGACCACGTGTGTGTGTGTTTGCGCGTGTGTCTGCTATGGTTCACTGCAAACTCTTCCTCTTCCCGGTTTATTCCACGGATCCCCCTGCCTTTACGTGCTTACTGGGTTGGAGGCGGGTTACAAAAAGATGAATACGTCGTTAAAGGGGAAATTAGCTGCGGAAATATATCGCCGCTGAATGCTATGGAGGCGACCTACGGAACGAGGGACGCACTTTCCCCTTAATTGCATGCGGCAGAAGGAGAGCTGCGCACACGCCGGAGTCGAAGCCCTGCTGCCGGGTCTTCCTTCTTTGCAACGCTTCACTCAACGCGCGTCCCGCGGAAAGAGAATCGAGAGCTTCCTTCGTGGGAGCGGCACTCCAGCCTGGAAAGGTGGGATTTGCTTCTTCCATGCTCACGTTCCGCGGGGATGCAAGTTGCACGCCCACTTGTTGCAGTGTGTCTGTGTGTGCGCGCGCGCGTTCCTGTTGCATGTACAGTACAGACCTGGATGCGAGAAACGTGCGCTGGCTCTCTGCCAAGCAAGAGCACGCGTCCACTGGGATGCGCGTCGGGGCGTGCAGACCTGTTGCAGGCAAGCGCGTCCCGGCGCCCGTTGCGCGCAGGGCGCACTTGGCCGCCGGCTGCCGCCCTCGCCAAAGGGCGGGCGCGGAGGGTCGCGCACGCGTCGGTCTTGTGTGCAGGGTGTGGCTTCCGCCTCTCCTGCCTCGCCTCTCTTGCGCGGGAGCCATACCCCAGGACGGGCTTCCTTGGGTGCCGGAGCCGCCGTTGCCATGCCCGTGCGCTCTCCTTCCAAAGGGCGCCAGCCGAGGGCGTCCCGTGGGCTCAGCCCCGCCGCCGCCTGCGCTCCGGAGTCTCCGTCCCGGTTAGCGGCGCTGCTGCTCACTCCCGGGCTGTTTCGCCACCTGCTTTGCCCGCCCAAGAGGAGAAGCGGAGCGGCTGTTGCAAGTAAGTGAGCGGATCCCCTCCCTCTCCTCGCTTTCCTCCGACAGGCGATCTTCTGGGCGCGCAGCTCCTCGCCGAACTTCCCGGGCAAGTTTCTCGGAGGGAACTTTCTTCAGTTCCGGGAAGCAAACCAGCGGATCGGATTGGGGAATCCGGTAACCGGATCCGCCGCCGCTACGAGCTCTTGGGTCATTCCGGGCTCCAAGCGCTTAATGCAGGTTTAGAGACCCCTTGACGGCGATTACTCTTTTTTCAAGCCCACCAGCGCGGAGATTTAAGGGAAAGTGCCGGCGTGTTGTTGTCCGTCCCGTCCCCCCTTTGCGCGCCCCACCCTTTCCGTGTTGGAATACGGAGCGAGGGGTTAATCCAGATTTAATGCGCGTGGTCTGCTTTGACTTTCGGCCCCAGGGACACTTGGAAGAACTACCGGAGCTGGTAGTAGGATGGTGTGGGAATAATGGTGAAATGTTTTGATCGCCCTAAAATTATCCACACATTCCTCTTACATCAGTCACCGTGTCTGGGAACGGTGTTCTCTTTTGGTGAAGACCCGCTTGCTCCGGCTTCTTTTCCACCTCCGTTATCCCATCGGTATGTGGTCTGATTTTAGGCATGATTACTGAGAACCAAAAGCCTCCCTCTCCCCAATAATTCGGTGGGATTCACTTCCAAAGCATGCATGGTGCTGTAGCTTTAATTTTGGATCGCTCCCTTCATTTCCCTCTTTTCCATCTTCCACAGCCCCAAGGCAAGCCTCTCCAAACTGCAGTTGTGGAGCCCCACCACTACAGCAGGTTGAATCCAATCTATCACTTGGTGCAGGCTGTTGGGTATGACTTGGGTGCTTTGGAAACATTGACTGCATCTGGTACCATAACTGCATTGGATTCCATGTGCAAAACCCCAAAGCTCTTTTATTTTCACATCCCCAAACAAGACTTCTTTGCTTTGCTTGGGGGGACAGAAGTGCTTTGGAACAACTGAACTTCTGGAGTTGTGCACCTTTGAAAGCCCAGGTCTATTTCCCCTCAATTGTTTTCCTTGCAATCAACTGAGTGACAGCTATTTGTGTCATTCTTTGTGATAAACGTGGCGTATTGTTGATATGGCATATTATTGACATCAGTTCTCCTGCCTCCGGTATCACACTCTTGTTTTGTGTCGGATGCTTTTTCTCAGTTTGAGCAGTGTGCAGCATTGAAGTTGGGAAGGTGAATGAATTTCATACTGATACTTCATTCTAAGCTAGATTTTCTGTTAAAACCAGCTTTATTAGTTGTCTTCAGCACTGATTCATCTCGTTTGTCTGCTCTTTGTGGTGTTTTCTGTTGCTGAAAATCATCATGTGTTTTAGCATTTCACTGCTCTAGTGCTTGAGGTACATGTTAATAGCTGTTTTGCGGCTTGGTAACAATTTCTGCAGGAGGATGTAGCCTATCTGAAATAAATTTGCAGGGGAAATGGTCACACTCCCATCCTATCAACATCCAGCAACAATAGCTCTGTAGTTGGAATTAATAGCAGAGTGGATTCTCTGTATTTGCAGAACAACCTTATGGGAAGAAGTAATGTTTTTCTGCAAAATGTATTTCTCCTCCTTAATAGAGTCCGTAATAGACTTTCTGCAAAGCCCAAATTTCGACCACTATTGAATACATGTGTTGATTTCCCCCTGGTCTTTAGGTACTGAATTGTCCTGCTCCAGTTAATAGCTGCAGTGAGATAGTTAAGCATAATATTTATTTTCAGATATTGTAAAAACTTGGATATGCTGATGGACTCATTTTGTTATGCCTTTCAGGTCTGCCTTGTAGTGAGCAGCAAAAGTTTAAGGTGACCTTGTCAGTGTGCATGTCTTAAATCTGCCAAATCAGAATTTGTGAGGTTGCCTTGAGATGGGAAATGAGCTCTTTGTGGTGAGGTTTAAGGTATGTTTCAGCTATTGAAGAACAATCTCTTGAACCCTAAACTTCCTTTGAGCTTTACTGAGCGTAGCGGTGGTATACAGTGGTACCTCGGGTTAAGAACTTAATTTGTTCTGGAGGTCCGTTCTTAGCCTGAGACTGTTCTTAACCTGAAGCACCACTTTAGCTAATGGGGCCTCCCGCTGCTGCCGTGCCGCCAGAGCACAATTTCTGTTCTCATCCTGAGGTAAAGTTCTTAACCCGAGGTACTATTTCTGGGTTAGCGGAGTCTGTAACCTGAAGCATATGTAGCCCGAGGTACCACTGTATTAGAAGAGTCCCTTTGGATCACACCCAGCCCAGCATCAACATAATACAAACATAGAAAGCTGCCTTCTATTGGGACAGATAAGTGGTCCTTCTACCTCAGTGCTATCTACACTGACTGGCAGCAGCCCACCCAAGATTTTAGGCAATTGTCTTTTCCAGCCCTAGCTGGAGATTCTAGGGATTGAACCTTTGACTTTCTGCATGAAAAGTAGTTACTCTATTACTCAGCTACAGCCATGCTTCTGTTGCTTTCCAGCAGCTGTTATTCAGAAGTAGGGATGGAAGGTCTGGCAAGTTTGAGATTTTTCCAATCCTAAATATGTGATTTACTCGTTTTTTAAAAATCATTACAAAATTCTTCAGCAATTTAGGGTGAAATTCTCCTAATGAACACATCTTTGTATGCAGTTTTGACTAATTTTCACATTTCTGCAAATAATTTCTCGTAATATTATGCATTTTTGTTCGCTGTTTCCATGGCTAAGCACATTTTCACCTAATATTTGCGCTTACTTGGTTGCAGAACTGCATCTCAAAATTCAGATAAGTGTGAATTTTGAAAGAGGCCTGTGTTTTGGTCCTTGTTTCAAAAAGTGTGAATTTGGTAAATTCAGCCTTTAATGCGAGCCGAATCAAATCCCTCCTCCATCCCTACTCAGAAGCATGCTTTCTCTGAAACCTGGAGGTTACATACAGGTATCATCAATTGATTTTTCTTCCCGAAGGAAAAGTCTTTCAATGAGACCTTCAGAGTGCTTAAACAGCAGATAGCTTTAGTTTCTTGTAGCAATGCCTTTTTTTGGCAAAGCCCATTCATTATATTGATGCTTAACACTGCACCAGGAGATGCTTTGCTAGGGTGGTGGGTGGAAATAATAAAACGGTAGCTAAGACCGTTCCAGACGTCAGACGTCTGTTCAGACTTTTATGACTTGCTGCAGAACCTGTTTTCATCCATGGAGTGAATCGAAAATTGCTTGCACCATGGAATAGTAACAATCCCTTTTTTGCAAGTTCGGTGATTACATCAGAGATGCACTGCAGAAATCCAAATGCTGCAGAGGGAATTTGGAGGGGTGTGTGCAGATGATCAAGAGTGGAATGTTAACACTGAAGTTGCTGCTTCTGTTTCTTGCTGTGGAAAGGGCAAACGTCTCTGGTCTATTTAGCCTAGCATTGTCTTGGATTCTTGAAGATAAGAGGACTGATCACACAGCTTTCTAAATTTGATAGCGGGGGGGAGGGATCCTTCATCCTGCTGAGTCTGATTAGTTGCTTAGGAGATGTGCCTATGCATGTTTACAGAGAAATCTGTGTTCAGTGCTGCTTATTCCCAAGTAGGCGCACATAGAATTGTATATGCGTCTCCCAATTCAGCCGCTCTTAATATGGTCTCTCTATGCATCCCGTTTGTTCCCATGTGAACACGCACAGAAGCAGCACTGCAACACTGTGGACTATGGAAGCTATTCAGTAAACTTTTTCTCAATTAAACAAATAATAATTTTTATTATTTATACCCCACCCATCTGGCTGAGTTGACCCAGCAATTCTGGGCGGCTTCCAGCATATATAAAAGCATAATAAAACACCAAACACTTAAAAACTTCCCAATACAGGGCTGCCTGTTCAGATGTCTTCTAACAGCTGTTTATTTATCTCCTTGACATCTGATGGGAGGGTGTTCCACAGGGTGGGTGCCACCACCAAGAAGGCCCTCTGCCTGATTCCCCGTAACTTCACTTTTTGCAGTGCTTGGTTCTGTATTCGCTCAGAGATTGAATTGACAGCAGCACAGCCCTTCATGCAAAGGACCAGGGTGTTAAAGGCTCCACATCCAGAGATCAGTAAGAGAGAACAGAACCCTTTGTAGAAAGAAGCTGTCAAACCGCTGGTAGGTGCTATAGCAGGTGAAACCATCTAAACATCTTGAAAACACAGGAGGCCCACACAAACCCGCAATATACCTTGCCCTGTGGTAGCCAACAAGATGATGTTGGACTCCAACTCCCATCATCCCCAGCAAGTATGGGTAATTGGTATGATGGGAGTTGTAGTCCACAACACATCAGCTACCCACTGTAAGCGACTCTCCCAGCACACAGGTTGTGTGGTCCAGTCCTGCCATCTTTCTTGGCTGCCGCCCAGTGGCTGCCTCTGGTAACGGCAGGTTCCACTTTCTTACCACCATTGGCCCCAGGTGGCTGTGCTTTCATCCCTTCCTGCATCCATTGCCATTTTATCGGTACCTCCTATTTTCCCGCATCAAACCATTAATATGCCCTGATCGCAAATAGCCTCTTTGTAGGCTTCACGCTTCTTTCCGTGCACACACCACTTTGTTGTCTCTCTCTCATCCCTTCCATTGGCTGTACAGTGGTACCTCGGGTTACAGACGCTTCAGGTTACAGATGCTTCAGGTTACAGACTCCGCTAACCCAGAAATAGTACCTCGGGTTAAGAACTTTGCTTCAGGATGAGAACACAAATCGTGCTCCGGCGGCGCAGCGGGAGGCCCCATTAGCTAAAGTGGTGCTTCAGGTTAAGAACAGTTTCAGGTTAAGATCGGACCTCCAGAACGAATTAAGTTCTTAACCCAAGGTACCACTGTATAAACAATACGCAGTGCATGGGGAATGTCACACAAACCGAGACCCTGAAATGTCTGTTTATTTTTCCGTTGCAGAAATTTTGTAGCGGGAGCAGCAAAGGGATGTGAAGCCACCTGGTGACCAAGATGACTCTCTTACCAGGAGAAAATTCGGACTATGACTACAGCGCCCTGAGCTGTGCTTCGGATGCCTCCTTCAACCACCCTTTCTTTGCTGAGACAGAAACGCTCAAGGGAGTCTTTTACCAAAGGGCCAAACTCATCCACCCCTCGGAAGAACTATATGGAAGCATTCGCCCAGAAGACCGGAAGCATCACATCATCATCAATGTGGGTGGCTTCAAGTACTTGCTCCCATGGACCACTCTGGATGAGTTCCCCATGACCCGCTTGGGGCAGCTGAAGTTCTGCAACAACTTTGACGACATCCTCAACATCTGCGACGATTACGACGTGACCTGCAACGAGTTCTTTTTCGACCGTAACCCCGGGGCGTTTAGGACCATCTTGACTTTCCTCCGGGCAGGGAAGCTCCGGCTCCTGAGAGAGATGTGCACGCTTTCGTTTCAGGAGGAGCTGCTGTACTGGGGCATCGAGGAAGACAACCTGGAGTGGTGCTGCAAAAGACGGTACCTGCAGAAAATGGAGGAGATTGCGGAAATGAACGAAGCGGAGGATGAGTTCGCGGACGGCGAAAACCAGTGCGAAGCTGTGGCGGAGACGAAAGCTGGGCGTTGCATGAAAAGGTTGCAAGACATGGTGGAGAGGCCTCAGTCTGGGATTCCGGGGAAAGTCTTTGCCTGTTTATCGGTGCTGTTTGTGACTATCACTGCCGTCAACCTTTCCATCAGCACCATGCCTGGCTTAAGAGAGGAAGAGGAGAGAGTAAGTTGATTTTAAGATGCGTAGTTGATCTTAGGATGCGTAGGGAGCTGTCTTCAGGCATGTGGGGGGAAGCCATCTAAATGGAAAGAAAGTTGATGTGACGGTTTTGCAGGCCATCAGTGCATCGCAGAAACCAAGTATATGTGGACATGCAAAGCTGGTTTTTTAAAAAATGGGTGGAATAACAAACTTGGAGATTCATATGCAAAGATGCTCCATGATCACGGCCAAACAACCAGGGCCCGTTCCTACTTCCATTAGGGTAGGGGTGGGCAGCCTCTACTTCTGCCTCACTTCCTGCCTTGACGAAAACCAGAGGGAACATTGCACTATTGCCACAAGAGCCAGTAGGAAGGGAGACAGGTACATGCTTGACTGAACCACAGTGCATACACCTAGGGTGGGGACCCTCTAGGGCAGGCATAGGCAAACTTGGCCCTCCAGCTGTTTTGGGACTACAACTCCCATCATCCCTAGCTAACAGGACCAGTGGTCAGGGATGATGGGAATTGTAGTCTCAAAACATCTGGATGGCCAGGTTTGCCTATGCCTGCTCTAGGGGAGCGACCCTCTAGGGCTAGATGTGGATGGCAGGGGGTGGGGGAGAAATGTGCATTAGGGTATCTTTAAGATCTGCCCTTTGGTTCTTGTTTTAGCACTGAATTGAAAGGGGCCACGACTGATTCTGCTCTAAGACCCTGTTGCCTGGAGTCCTGTGTCCTGTTCTGGGTACCGTACTTTGGGGAAGGCTAGACAAAATGGTTCAAACGAGGGCAGGAATGATGGTCAGGGATATGGAAAACAAGTCCCGTGAAGAAAGTTGAAGGAATTGAGTAAGTTTAGACTGGAGAAGAGAAGACTGAGGGGGGGGGGTGATGGTACTGCCTGTAGGGCTGTGACATTAGGGATCCTCACATACTGCATTCAGCAAGCGTACATACAGCCTGTGCATGCAAATATCTGTGCTATGCAAATCAACAAGTGTACTCTCACACAAACACTTGTGCATATGGCAAGAGCTTGTACCCGTGTTCAGTGTAGCACATGAATAAACATATCGAAGAGGAGAAAGACTTTACTGCCTCGGTGGTGAGTTCTTCTATACTGGAGGTCTTCAAGTGTCTGTTGCAGGACATTCTCTGCTTCCCACTGGCTTTAGGGAGGGAAGAGTTAACCCTCCCTGCAGAGAAAGAGAAGGGGCAGCAGAGAGAAAGGGGCTGCTCCACCTGCTTCTGCTTCCAACCCCCATCTGTCTTAGTATGTGGCCCTAAACATTAAAAAAAGAGGATTTCCTATCTTTGATCATAGAATCATAGAACTATAGAATTAGAAGGGACCACAGGAGTCATTTGGTCCAAACAGGAATCTTTTGCCCAATGTGGGGATCAAACCCACAACCCTGAGATTAAGAGTCTCGTGCTCTGCCACATGAGCTATGCCAGCTGTACAACTTCAAAGTGTGGTTAACACAGCAACATGAACAGGCACCTGGGGATCAGGGGGCCAGTCACATCTGGCTATGCAGACAGCTAGTCATCAGCAATATAAGCACAAGGCTACTGTCACCACCCCAGAATCACTCAAGCATCGAAGAAAGTGAGGGCATGATCACACTGGGCTTAGCAAATGTCCAGAGCCCAGATTTATTAAAAGGGTGTAGCTGGCCATGTCTAAGTTTAGCATGGTTTATATAAAAAGGCAGTTTATAATATAAATCTATAAACTTTTTTTTTTTTTAAATGTAAACTCTGAGGAAACTTGGATAACCTGTCCTGGCAAATCATGTGGAAAATTTGACAAGAGCTGGTAGCTGCTGCCCCACATAGCTGCATGTTCTAAAGCGAAATTTTAAGCCTAGTGAACAGCGCAGGGACATCTGATGCTAAACAGGCGCCATGGGGTTGATTATGTCCTTGGAAGGGAAAACCAGGTAAGAGTAGAATGTAGGTGATTTTGAAGCACCTTAAAACAGCCAGAACACTGCATTTCAACCCATTTTTAGTATAAGTTGCAGATCAGCTAGGAGTGCTCTGTTGTATTGTTGAGAGTTTTTCATTTTGAAAGTCTTTATACCCAGAAAGGTGGCCTTAAAATATTTTAAAATTAAAAATGAATACGTAAATAATACAGTCATACCTCAGGTTACAGATGCTTCAGGTTGCGTTTTTTCGGGTTACGGACTGCCGAAACCCAGAAGTACCAGAATGGGTTCTTCCAGGTTTTGGCGGTCGCACATATGCAGAAGTGCTAAATCGCGCTTTGCACATGTGCAGAAGCACCGAATCGCAGCGTGCGCAGACGCGCCACTGTGGGTTGCAGACGTCCATCCCACACGGATCACGTTCACAACCCGAGCGTCCACTGTAAAGTGAAGATGCAGCACATAGACACACTCGCATAGGTGGCTTTTTAAAAGCATTGGGCAACCTTCTGTGTTCTTAGCAAAGCCTTTCTGCCAGCCGTTTCGTTGCTCACGCAGTCCCCTTCTCTCCCACTCCAGGGCGAATGTTCTCAGATGTGCTACAATATTTTCGTCGTGGAATCCGTCTGCGTGGGGTGGTTTTCCTTGGAGTTCCTCTTGAGGCTCATCCAGGCGCCCAGCAAGTTTGTCTTCCTGAGGAACCCCTTGACCCTGATCGATATCGTCGCCATCCTCCCCTACTACATCACCTTACTGCTGGACAGCACTTCGCTGGGCAGCAACAAGAAGCCGACCTCCGGCAACATCTACCTGGACAAGGTGGGCCTGGTCCTCCGCATCCTGCGTGCCTTGAGGATTCTGTACGTCATGCGGCTGGCCAGGCACTCGCTGGGCCTGCAGACTCTGGGGCTGACGGCCCGCAGGTGCACCCGCGAGTTCGGGCTCTTGCTGCTGTTCCTCTGCGTGGCCATCGCGCTTTTCGCGCCCCTCTTGTACGTGATCGAGAATGAGATGGCGGACTCTCAGGAGTTCACCAGCATCCCTGCCAGCTACTGGTGGGCCGTGATCACCATGACGACGGTGGGATACGGTGACATGGTACCCAGGAGCATCCCAGGCCAGGTGGTGGCCCTGAGCAGCATCCTCAGCGGCATCCTGCTCATGGCCTTTCCCGTCACGTCCATCTTCCACACGTTCTCGCGCTCCTACATCGAGCTGAAGCAAGAGCAGGAGAGGATCATGTACAGGAGGGCGCAGTTCTTAATGAAAACAAAGTCCCAGTTAAGCAACGCATCACAGGGGAGCGGCATGTTTCCGAGCCTCTCTTCAGAGACCAGGAATGACGGCTGAAATGGAAGTTTCCACGTCTGCCCTGTTGCCGAGCAAACAGCAAACTCTCTCTCTCTTTTTAATCTCGGCATTTGCTTCTGGAGGCTTTGGGGAGAGATGGCATTGTACAAATAAACACGCAAAGGGCTTTTAGCCATTATGACCGTGGGGACTTGGTTCATCATTATGTTGTATTAGCATTGCTATTAGGGGGTGGGGGATAAGATTGTTGCTTTCCAGTAGGTTGCACAATTTGGGATCATGAAATGGAGATTTGTTTATTTTTTAAAGGAAGAGCAACGTGCATCGTTAACCAAAAGGAGAACAGTGTAAAATTACATACTGGGCACAGCTGTTGCCATTTGTAATGTAAAGAGGCAGGCCATTTTCCAAGAGAGAACTGACTGTGAATGTCAACATTTTGATCTTTCGGTTAATTGACCTTTTGTTGTTTATTTTTACCAAACCTTGTGAACTATAACATCTCGCAGATCCAGATTTAATCCTTGGATGTATAACCCCGTTGTTTGTACTGGAGTTAGGAAGTTTGTGGGTCACATTTGAAGCAGGCTTAGGAATGTTTTATTTTCTTGCAACTCTCCCCCCACACACACTTGCTGACCTCCCAAGCTTCAAACACAGGACCCACCAAGCAGTTTTGGCTTATATTCTGAAGATAAGCAATAGCAGCGTTTTTCAGCTATAATTTAAATTGCAGCAGCGAGCTGCTTATTTCTAAGGCTACTTCTCAATCAGGGCATTTCAACCTACAATTCTCATTGGCCAAAGCAAGCATGGCCAGTGGGGGTGGGAGGGATGATGGGAGTTGTTGTCCTACAACCTCTGGAGGACTACCAGTTCTCCATCCTACCTTCAATGAAGCACCCGCTTATTGCTGAGTCAAGTAGCATTTCCTGATAGGCGGTCAGGCACAGCCCCAGTGTCGCTGGATGTGATTTCTCTTTTCTGTGAGATGGCTCATTATGTAAAGTGTCTCATACCCAGTTCCATCGTGTATCAGATACCAACAGGAACTCACAGCTTGCTTTTAGCACCATTTCCCTTCAGACTGGTTAGGTGTAGAAAGGAGACTTGGAAGGGGGGAAGTAGCTTTATAACTCCCCTCCTGAATTCTCGTGCGCATCATCCTCTGAACATTTATGAGAAAACATACGGCAGTCATCCTCTTGTCTCCAGGATACTGATTGTGCTAGATTGACCTGATACAGCTGTCCTTCTGTTCCACACCCTCTAATGTTAGTAACACAAAGCTAGATAACAGAAAATCCAAACAGAATGTGCACCCAAATGCCACACCAGTCGTTGTCTCACGGTTGTTTTCTTTTGCGCAGGATAGAAGGAAATAAAACTCGCTATGTCTTAATCCAGCTCCGTTGCCAAAATTACTAGTGTGATAGCTGCAACAACTTCTGGACATAGGGCTCCTTTCAAGGAGGAAAGGAAAATACCGGAAGCAATTGCTGGAAAAGTAGAAAAGAGGATATTATATGGATGAGTCATTGGAAACTTAGTAAGTCTCCCATGAGTGAAACCTAAAAGGCTTAAAGCCTTTTGTTAATTGCCTTGTCCTTCCCACACACACACACACACCAATCGACCAAGGGTCTGATACAAATTGGGTTTCTTTTTCAAGAATCTGGGAATTTTTGCCTGCCTGGATACACCACATGCTTGGCAAACCCGTTGCGTGACTTGGCCACAGTCACAAAATAATGGCTGTGTTTCCGCTGAGGAAATACTGTACACAGCTTTACCACATGAGCCCTTGCAATTCAGGCTTGCAGTAAACTGCTCGTACTCAAGTAACACAGCCAGTGCACTGCGTCCAGTTTTGTCAACCCTGTTGGATAGCAATGACAGCCTGGGATTGGGAAGCAAAGATTACCCAAATGATTTTACAATTGTGTACTGGTTCCTTTGGTATCTTGAAATGGTTAGTCTCTTACACACCCTATTATTATATCATATTATTATATCATATTATTATATCAGTGGTTATCAACCTGTTCCCTGGAAGTTTTCCAGCAATGGCCCAATGAGAAGGCAAACAAGCTTCCCAGAAATAGTCTTCCGCAACAGGCCCTCTGCAATATGCAGTTTCAGGGGAGCATATTCTATTTGTATAGGGCGATGGGGAGGACCAAGAGGCACAACCATAGCTTTGCATGAACAAAACAGACTGCCCCAGAATCCTTTGCAACATAAGAGGTTCCAAGGCAAATATGCAGAGGTGGTTCTTCAGCAGATGAGTCTCATCCTGAAGGTTTGGTGTTTGAATATAACTGCTCTATGAACCCCTGGATCTCATCCAACCATTTCTAAGTGGTTCTGCTTCTTAACTGCTCTTTAATTGCAAAGATCTAGTTAATTGACCTGGAAGAACCCACCTGATTTCCAGCTAACTAGACATAGTTATTAATTTGTATTGGCTTATCACTTAATGCGGAGGCAAACAATGTACCTTTCTGGTATCTTTAAATCATGTTAGTATTCATGTGCAAAATCAGGTCCCAAAATGAAAATTTGAGAGCTTAGAAGCAAAATAGTAAAATGATAGGAGTGAAATACCATACTTTTCCATGTATAAGACCAGGTTTTTTTTCTTTTAAAAATATGCTAAAAAGTGGGGGTCAACTAATAGATAATGCATAGGGTGGATGTTTGATTGGTTGTCAGCGGCTATTTGGCGTGTTATTGGTTGCTGCGTCAAGGGCTGGTGTTGATTGGCTGATGCTGCAGCAATTGGGCAGGCGATTGGCAGCTTCTGCTGGTGAGGGGACAAAAGGTGGATTTTGTGACACGTGCTGGTGAGCAATTTTTGGCAGTCCTCCCTTAAAAAAGCTCAACAACTCTGTGCCATCTCCCCCCATTTTCTTTGAGTCCCCAAAAATAGGAGGTGTCTTATACATGGGTGTGTTATACACGGAAAAATACGGTACATTGCTGATTTACAATGCAGTTGAGAATGTGATGGATAGTTTCATCCCCTTATGCATACATTAGCATTACCTTGTAGTATTTCAGATTTGTGTCGTGCAGTCCAATCCTCTGTACAGTACGTTTATTCTAAGCCTCGCTGTGTTCAGTGGGGTTACTCCCAAGTAAATGTGTATTTTATTTCAGTCTTAATGACCCAAGAGTCAAACTCCAGAGTGAACTGGGGTTTGGTGGTATTCTGCAGGATTCTGGATGCCAGACCTGCCTGCCAAACTAGAGCTGCGAATTATGCACATTTACTGGGGGTAAGCCCCACTGAGCACAGCAGGAAGTAGTTCTGAGTAAACATGAAGGAAGATTGAGCTGTCTGGAATAAGGATGGATTTGGCTTGCTTTGGTTTTGTATCTTGGTAACAAATTACTTCTAAGCTAGGAGTATGTTCTATGAATCACTCTTTAAGAAATTGCTTCTCTTCCCCTTTCAAAACACCAAAATGAGACCCACTGTGGCTTCTTGCAATGAATACAGTTTATATGTTTCAACTTCCATAATGTATTGTGTCCCACTGCCAGCTATGAATATTTTTAAAATGATAATCAACCCTTCACAAAGTACAGTCTCATTTCAGTCTTTGAAGCCAGCTTCGGTGAAACGACAGAATTATTTTAAACTTTTTTTTAAAAAAAAACAAAACCATCTCAATGTTTGCAAGTCCTGAGAGTTTTAAAAATATTTTGCTTTCAAACAGCATAAACAGCTTACGCCATTCCAGTGAGAAAAAATGTGGTATAAGTTAACATCCAAACTATATACACATAAACCAGTATACCTGAAGGAGCGTCTCCACCCCCATCGTTCTGCCCGGACACTGAGGTCTAGTGCCAAGGGCCTTCTGGCGGTTCCCTCGCTGCAAGAAGCCAAGTTACAGGGAACCAGGCAGAGCGCCTTCTCAGTAGTGGCGCCCGCCCTGTGGAACGCCCTCCCACCAGATGTCAAAGAGAAAAACTACCAGACTTTTAGAAGACATCTCAAGGCAGCCCTCTTTAGGGAAGCTTTTAATGTTTAACAGACTACTGTATTTTAATACTTTGTTGGAAGGCACCCAGAGTGGTTGGGAAACCTAGCCAGATTGGCGGGGTATAAATAATAAATTGTTATTATTAAAGGTAAAGGGACCCCTGACCATTAGGTCCAGTCGTGGCCGACTCGGGTTGCAGCGCTCATCTCGCTTTATTGGCCAAGGGAGCCGGCATACAGCTTCTGGGTCATGTGGCCAGCATGACTAAGCCGCTTCTGGTGAACCAGAGCAGCACACGGAAACACCGTTTACCTTCCTGCCACAGCGGTACCTATTTATCTACTTGCACTTTGACATGCTTTCGAACTGCTAGGTTGGCAGGAGCAGGGACCGAGCAACGGGAGCTCACCCCGTTGCAGGGATTCGAACCGCCGATCTGATCGGCAAGTCCAAGGCTCTCTGGTTTAACCCACGGCGCCACCCGCGTCCCATTATTATTATAAACATATATGAACCTCCAGGTTCAAAGGCAGTTTGCTTCTGCATACCAGTTGTTAGAGCAACAACAAGAGAGGTTTCTTCCCTTCAGTCCCAGATTGTGAACTTCCCAGAGGTACCTGGGAGACCACTGTGGGAAAGGATGCTGGAATAGATGGGCCTTTGTTCTGACAGGCAGTACGAAGCAGTAGTGCTTCTGAATGCCAGTTGATGAAAACCACAGGAGGGGCGAGTGCTCGTGCTCAGGTCCTGCTTACAGGCTTCTCACAAGCAGCTGATGCGCCACTGTGAGAACAGGATGCTGGACCCCTGGCGAGATCCAGCAAGCTCTTACTTGTTTCTTATATCCAATTAGTTTTTCCTAATCTCCTTTGGCACAGACCAGACAAACAGCGTTCGCCAGAACCTTTCATGTAAAAACCACCACAGCGATTCAAGGCGTCTCTGAAGCAAAGCTGTGTCACAGTGCAATGGATTTTCATTTAATTCTCTGCCCCTCCTAAGCGAATCGCTCGCTGGATCAGCAAACCTGTCTATTTCCATGCTTTGGCGTTCTGGGAAGCTTAGCGTTATTAAACAAGAGTTTGCCCACCGCTGGTTCAAAGAGCATTCTCTCCAGGGTTTGGTTCTGGTTTGATTGTTGTGTTTTTCAGTCTTGGCTAAATGGGCAGCCAACTTTTTAGCTGTATCTTAATTCAACAGAAAGTATTTGTGCTTGACCGAGTCATAGCTGTATGCTTCGTTTGATGCATATGTCGGGGAAAGGAAACGGGCATGAATTGTGTATGCACAATCTGTGTGGGCAGAGTTTTCCAGTCTGCGTTAAATCCAGAGTTGCCGAGGGGAACAATGCTGGTCTCCACCTTGTGCCTTTTGTTAAAGGGTTTAGAGTTTATGAGAATCCTATGTGAGGTTAACTTTTCCACACATAATATCCAACTCACAGCAAGTACGATAATCACACACTAATTCTCAGTGCCCCCATCATGTAAGCACTTGCTGTGCGCAAAACTCGGAGGATGAAATCCATTTTTTCTTGGCCCAGACAACTAGCTTCTGCAGGAAACCCATCAGCCAGTATGAATTTCAACCAATTATGGCTGTGCTTCAGTTTCTTCATTTTCATCATCAGTGTTTCATGTTCCTTCTAGGCCCCATGTGTTTTCATGCAGGTGTTTCCTCCCATCCATGGAGTGCATTATGGGATTTGTAAACTTAACCCTATACAAAGACCAGAGACGGCCAACGTGGTGCCCTCCTTTCAGCTAATAATAATAATAATAAATTTTATTTATATCCCGCCCTCCCCAGCCGAAGCCGGGCTCAGGGCGGCTAACAACAATAAAACAGTACAAAAGTACAGCACAAACAACACTCTAAAACCATTCATTATAAAATTAATTAATTCAAGCCACTGGCAACCATTGGGCCAGAGCTCCGCGAAGATTGCCGAGGGAGGGAGTCAGGCTGTGCCCTGGCCAAAGGCCTGGTGGAACAGCTCTGTCTTGCAGGCCCTGCGGAAAGATGTCAAGTCCCGCAGGGCCCTGGTCTCTTGTGACAGAGTGTTCCACACTACAACTCTCATGACTGTGAGACTAGGGAGCTGGCATCTAGCAACATCTGAAGGGCTCCACATTAGCTACCCCTGCATTAGACATAGCAGCAATTTGTCATTAAGAAGTTTTCTGAGTTGACTGCTATGTCCCATTGGAAGAGCTCTGTACGTTGTGGGTGAGCAACTTCACCTGCCATCCACTCCAGCCAGCACAGGCAATGGTCCAAGATCATAGAATTGTTGAGTTGGAAGGTACCACATGGGTCATTTAGTCCAATCCCCTGCAATGAAGGAATCTTTTCCCCAACGTGGGACTTGAACCCTCAAACCTGAGATTAAGAGCCTCATGCTCTACTGACTGAGCTATCCCAGCAGGACAGTTGTTCCCCACCCCTGCTGTATGTGTTCAGCATACAGTGAAACAGTGCAAGTGTTCATATTGTATGCTCAAGATCTGTGACCTGGTGCCTGAAGTAGCTTGACACCCGAGATCCCTGTATGTCCTTGTTATGATACCACATAGTCCCAGCTCAGTGAAGTACTTAACACAGGATTCGTATTTAGATCTGTTAATTCAAGGCTATTGGGTAGTAGTCCACATATAGAGCTCTCCAGGAAGCTGAACCTCGTGTTCAGAGCTTAGTAGCTGTGCAGCTCAATAGAGCCCCTGATTGGCATGTCATGTGCTGCATGCCATGTATTCCGGTCTATTTTTTCTCAAGCATTGCCTAACCAACAAAAGCAGTAGATTAAGCTCCTGCTTAATCATGCCACTGTTCAAGGGGTACAAGTCTTGAGGTGCAAAGCCTGCAGAGGCTCTGACTGACCATATCTGAAAGATTAATTTCTCCTTTAAGATTAGCTGAAAACGTCTATTCTGTGGGTGTGCCATGCCTCCATGCCAAGATGGTTAGAGCGTGGTGCTGATAATGCAAAGGTTGCAGGTTCAATCCTCTTATGGAACAGCTGCATATTCCTGCATTGCAGGAGGAGATGATCCTGGTTCCACAACAAAGACGGAAAGCTGGCTCATATAGTTCATGGCCAGTGCATCAAATGAGTTGAATATGTGAATTGGCCATCACAGAGCTATCACCACAGATTGGCCTCCCAAATCGGCCCAAATGCAGTGTTTTTGAATTGTGTTCATTCATACAAGTTGCTTCCAGTATGGGCATTTATTGTGAGACGAGCTCTTGCCCATTTTCTGCTATATTAATAAGCGAGGGGGTTGTCCAAACAGAGTCTCTTAAGTCTAAACTACCTCACAGAGGAGTTCAGTCGGAGCCTGAGTTATAATACTACTGGAATGCCTAACCGTCTACAGCAAGTGTGGGGAACCTTTGGCCCTGCAGCAGCTGCTGATCTGCAGTTCCCATCAGCCTCAGCAGGCATCCCATCAGAGATGATGGGAGTTGTAGTTCAGCAGCATCTGGTTCCCACACCAGGTCTATAGCACCTTTGCAAGGGAGGAGGAAGGGCAGAAAAGTTGGAAAAAATGGTCCTGCCTCCACTGTCCCCCTTGATCCCACCTCCAGTGCCCCCCTTGGCCACCCCAACAGCCACCACTGCATTGCCCTAGGCTGAGCAGTGGATCAGTCAAGTGGGGGAAGAGCCATAGCTCCCTGGCAGAGCATATACTCTGCATGCAAAAGGTCCCAGGGTCAGCCTCTAGCACAGGGGTCAGCAACCTTTTTCAGCTGTGGGCTGGTCCACCTTCCCTCAGACCTTGTGGGGGGCCGGACTATATTTTAACAAACAAATGAACAAATTCCTATGCCCCACAAATAACCCAGAGATGCATTTTAAATAAAAGCACACATTCTACTCATGTAAAAACACGCTGATTCCTGGACAGTCCGTGGGCTGGATTGAGAAGGTGATTGGGCTGCATCCGGACCCTGGGCCTTAGGTTGCCTACCCCTGCTCTAGCACTTCCAGGTAGGGCTGGGAAAGAGGTCAACCTAAAAGCCTGGAAAGTCAAGGCTAGGCAGTGTCACCAGGGGTCTGACTCAGTGTAAGGCAGCCTCCTTTGCTCCCAAGAGAAGGAAAAGGACTGCTGGACAGAAAGGGTGTCAAGGAGATCCTGGTAACCCAACCCCCCCTCCCCATTTCCATCTGAGGTTCTGAGTAGGAGGTGAAGGCATTCTCCCGATACTCATAGCAATATAAACCCTGCACAACGCGATACTCCACATTCCACTTCCAATTGGTAAGAGTCCAGAGTAGTTGGAGAACATGAGCTACGTGTGACTTGCAGACACTGAATGAAACAGAGAATCGGGGATGGTCTCTTTTTTTACTATCACAAGCACTGCCAAAAATAGCCCATGCATATTCGTGCTTGTCAAGGTGACACAATTTTCCTCCACCTGATCTTGCCAGTGCCAGCCTTTGTCTTCCTAACCATGTGTCCTTGGGCTGAGTGCACACCATACATTCTCCAACAATAGAATCATGAGCATTGTTTGTTGTTGGTGCTAAGGATTACAGTTCGGGGGTGGGCAGGTAAACCTGTTCCTAGGATGTGGAAGGGGGAATGTGTTTTAAATGTATGGTTTGTATGCAGCCCTTGGCTTCCTAACTTTATAGGCTGCTACTTTTGGCATTGGCTTGCTTCTGCTGCCTAAAGTTTCAGCTCAGAGTGGCAGCTGGGTCCGAGCCAGAAGGCTTGCCAAGTTGCCTGATGATTTATTGGCTTCTTAATATTCTTATTCAACTCGTTCAAAAGGAGTGCTCCTCATCTAAGCAACAGCCTACGAAAATTTATAGCTGAAAACCTTGGTGGGGTTTCTCATCTTGACCTTTTGGTAACTTCTAATATTTCACCTGAATATTTGCCCTTTTAGGATTTCTCTGGGCTCTGGTCTAAAACTCACTGGGGTGGTAAACCTGTGTCTAGACTCTGGTAATTCAGAGTGAAGGTGAGGCTCACATGACAGGATGCTCTGCCGTAAGTTAAAAAGAAAACCAGGATGTTAGGGATGACCTTTCTTCCTGACATCTAGTTTTGTGTGTACAAAGCCATGGGCAATACTAGATAGTTATAAGGCCCATGACAAATCTGCATAAAAATTGCACATGCTAATTTTACATAATATAGCCTCCTACATCAATTGCCTCTGGTCTGTGAGTTCTAGGTCCAAGTAATCACTCCAAGCGTTCAAATAAGTTGCTGGTTTTACTGCACAGATTTATAGAGTTACCTTTCTCCACCTCTATTCTTTACCTGATGTCAAGTCATACATCAGCAGGTATTTGAGGGCCCAAACAAAATAACTCCACAATGTCTACATCTGATCACATTCACCATGTTCCCGTGCATGTTTACTCAGAAGTTAATAGGCCTGCTTACAATAATCACTCAGACACTTTCAAATACTTCAAAATATAAAAATGCGTTCATCAAACAGCAGTGCCTCTGCATACTTATTCCTTCTAATAATGAACTTGTATGCTTGCATGCCCAATTCTATCATTTTGGTAATGAAAAATATCTCAAAAATAACTTGGCAGTCTTGTACTTGCAGGATTGCCTAAGCTTCCAGAAGTATACAAGTTTGGAATTTAAAAGAAAAGAAAAGATGCTTTTAAACCCCAAAATGGGATTCTAGTACCTTGAACAGGGCTTTCAGCTGGAGAAATTTGAAGAGATTATCTCCACAGGTGTGAAAAGCAGAACCTGCCGAGTTCTGTAGATCAAGCTCCTATTAACTGTTAATAGTGCAAGAACACACCAGGATGGTTATTTCTGGTCGGTTGGCAGCCAAGCCCTCATCCAGGTGACCCTGCCATAGCCTAAAGAAAGATTTAAGAATTTAATTAGCATTAATGAAATCTCCCTCTTTGTTTCCTTCTGGCAGCAATTTCCCCTTCTTTCTTCATTCCTTAAACTGGCATAATGCAGAACCCTCCACAGCAATCACCATCACTTTCAATAGTGCAGGGCACACCTGATAAACTGCAGGCCTGGAAGGAAAAAATGGTATGTTGAGCTCGCGTTAGACTAGCAGCAGCTGTGTCTTCTCTCTGCCTAATAGGAATATCACTTCCTTTCCGCTTTTCGGACCTGCTCCAGATACAAACGTCAGCTAAACAGAAATAAAGAGCCCAGCCCTGCTATCTGTTATGCTTATGTAACTTTCATCAGTTTTCACAAGGCTTCAGGCCAAAGTCAGCTAGGTAATTTTAGACCCTGGACTTAATGGTCTTATGTACATGGTTCCAGGTGCTCGTTTTATTGTTTTCAACTTCAAAAATGTAGTATCATTTCCTGCCACAAAATTGTGCATGAAAATGTGCTTAGCTTCAAGGCAGCAGAAGCAAACAAGTTTTTATTTGTGTAGTCGTGATGGTGCTATGATTTAAGTGAACTTAAAATGCAAAACTGCACTTAGTCTTTCTAATGAGAGGCTGGTAAACTCTTTGGGGTGGTTTTGGGGGGTTTTGTTCGAATGCAGGGGCGGCTTGCATTTTTCAGGCTGAGGGTCACATTGACCTGTGGTCCAACCAGAGTGGGGGATGCCAAAGTGGGAGTAGCCAAACTGTAAAATTGGTGGTGGCAAAAACTATGGTTCCCTAGGCTGTGGGTAGGAATGGGGGAGAAATTGGATTCAGTTCGTATTTAAAGGCAAACCTGCATAATCTTCATTTACTGAACCAATATGTGAAGCGAAACACAGCCATTCTTCAAAATTCGCACTCCTTTTAATTTTGCAAACCACTTCAACCAGCCAAGTAATGTGTGCAAAAATGCATAAACTCAAGTAAAGGTGCCTACAAATCCATGCATTTGTGAAAACGGCATATAAAAATGCATTATATGAGGGGAAATTGCTTTCCAAAAATGTACCTATTAGGGAAAATTGCATACAAAATTGTATATATTAGGAGAAATTCGCTGATGGGTTTTCAGGAGGACTTTTTTTTTTTAAGCAAATTGATGTGGAAATGTGTAAAATTGCAATTAAAATTGGAAAAACAAGAAACGGAGAAAGCAAACCCCACAAGTTCACCTGTGCCTAGCTGTGACACCTTGACTTTGGTCTGAAGGTCCAGCCATGGCTGTGCTGCTGGTTGTTTGTAGTTTGGTCCTTTCCTTATACATCACTAAATAAGCCCAGGGCCTCGAATGTAAGCAGCCTTACATAATTTATCCATATAAGCATGAAGCATGCTGGTAAACAAACACCTGCAAATAAATTATACACGTGGCCACAAGAGCATCCACTACATACTGATGAACTGTTGTTCTCTGCTCTGTATTACATCTTTGTAACAGCCTGAGGCTATATTTCTTTCCCAGGTTTTGATTATATAAAACCTCACACTGGTGCCTCCAATAACATTCTGAATGTGTGTCTTTGTGCTGCACAGT